AGATTTTGATGCTTTTTGGAGTGGAAAGGACAGAGACAGGCCAGGTCAGACTGAGTAAAGCTGTGCGTCTTGGGAGATCATGGACTCCAAATTCTGGGGAGTTGAGATTGGAAGAAGACAACAATGTGGAGTCCTCTTAAGCTGCCTTACTCATGCATAAAGTTTTGCTACTGCAAGTGGTAAATACAAAATATGTTATTTTGTTCCTCAGGCTTTAGGAGGGGAAAATAACTTTTATCTGTGCTGCTGGAAAACCCTGAGCTGCCCATGACACACTACCTTCTCAGCTAATAGGTGGAAACTAAAGAGCTTTCTCTTCTAAATGATGCCCCTAGAGATCTGTATGCTTCTGAAAACGTAGTTAGAGTTGAATGTCCACCAGTAAAAACTGATTTTCAGAATCTGTAAGTGGCATGATGCTAGAGTAAACCTTTAGTCTTGCCACAATTCTTATATAAGACCTCAGCTGTTTGAACAACTACAAGAATGTGTCCAGATTAAGGTATCAATATATAACCTTCTCTCTTGCCTTTGTCCTTCAACCTTCTCTCCCTCAACATGGCATTTTATTTTCTTAAGAGGAATAAGCAGAAGCAACTGAAATATTGCTTCATGTACCTTGCTACAAATATAATAGTAGCCTATGATTTAATTTAGGAAAATTAGAAGGCTCTTTCTGACCCAGCAAAATTAGAAATTGGAGACTATTTATCACTTGCAAACACAGATCTCAGTCACAACCGTGCAAACTTCTTCATATTGGCCTCTAGTGTGATAGTAGTGTCAATTGGGAGTAAGAGAATTCATTTTGCAGACCCTGCTTCACAGCAAAGATTACCTATTGTGCTTAATTGCATTCACTGGTTAGGAGGATATGGTATGGCTAGGGACAGTGTTGAAGCTGCTACACTTGTGCTCCCAGGGAAGGGATGCAGGTTGCTTTCAGTCTGAAGAAGTGGCACTTACAGTTCTTGTGGAAAGCGAGAACAAATACAGCCCTCCTGCAGATGCACTGACTTGAAGCCAAAGACTTGGAATTGTCAGGTGACGCTAATGCATACTGCCAAACAACTATAGACATTTGACACACTGCATTATAATACATTTATAAACACATGCACTACGTTGTGATTTGCTCATTATTAAAAAAGAATCTAGGAAAATGTTTATCAACGTATTTTTGTTTATAAGTGAGCTTGAATTTATTAATATAGAAATTAGTGTGCATTATTACCACTACTAAATTCTGAATTAAAGAGCTGCCTTTTCACTGAAAATTCAATATAGCCACTGAGTTTTGTACTTGTGATTAATGACATGTATTGTATAATTACAAAGTATTACATTATTGCACAATATATTTTGTTGGTAGACATACGCATTTTTCTGATTTGCAGATATAATTAATTTATCTTTCAAAAATTCAGCAACAGAAGTCTTTGAATCTGCCACCTTTGCTATGTAGTGACACAGTGCACTGGAATCCAGCTGCTGGCACTATAACAAATTATTTTACTTAATAACATTTTATACTCTTTTTCTGTGAATTTCAAAGATTTACTTTACAGTTTTCAGGCCTGGAGGCTGCTGTCATTCAGGAAAAATACCTGAATCTGTTAAATTTCTTGGAATGTTTCAATATGGGTGATGATATTTCCAAGAACCTGAACTTGCTCTTATTTTGATTCAGAGAAGATTTGAGTGATTAGAGCCCTTTTATGCACAGCCTGATGCAAAAAATTAAACCTTTTACTGCATTGATTCAGCAGCAGTTTTGTGATGGAATAAACAAAGGATTGCATCTTTAAGATGGTGAAGAATACTGTTTCTGTGGTTTGCATGTTGTAATGATGCTTTGACTTTCTTGAAGTGTAGCTCTTCAGAACACCTTGAACTTTGGGTGATGCAGATAAAGTTTGTAACTTGAGTGTTGTAAGGCTGACTCTTGCCACTCCAGTCTGACATGAACTGTCATTGGTTTTGCACTTCTGTTTTGATTAATGAAAAATGTTTGCCAACTTTTTCACTGCAACTCCACAAATGACTGGAGTAGTAATTAGGCTGAGGTTGGATTCCGTTCTCTGACTTATAGCATTGCCTCACAGAGAAGGCAGCAGGGGAATTATTTACCTTTTAATTGTAGTTCTCTGAAGGTGGTAGTCTCTATGGATTGATGCTCAGGGGGTCTCAGCTGTTGTGACCTTGGGTACTGAATGACTAGATTAAATGGTAAAGTTTAGAACTGGTCATAATGAGTTAGTACAGAAAAGATGCCTTGAGGGGTCTATATGGCATATCATAGCCCCTTACTCCCAAATCCTTTTCAGACTAATTATAATAATTAGAACTTAAATAGGAATAAAACCCCAGCTCTCAGGGGGAGGTGGGAGGATGAGTGTGGCTCATAATAGCGGACACCATATTCAGAGAACTCAATTATAAGCAAGTAATTTCCTTCTCTCCAAAAGGTAATTGGCCTCTTCCACTTCTCTGTTCTCACAGATGATGGGGGAGAATTGTGTGAAGAAGGTGCTCTTCTGCCAATAGGAGTAGGGGTTGCTGGATAATGTGTGGAAATGAAAACCAGCGGTGGTCTTAATCTTATCCTGGACTAGAAAGGAAATATCCTGAACAGTATGAAATGCCTGGTACAATATATGTGGGGAGGGGGTAAGGGGGAAGTAGGTGGTTGCATGGAAAGTATGTTGTCTTTATTGCCCTGACACAGAAAAGGAGAGCTTCTTGAAGCTTGTTGCTGTATCTCAGTATCCTGTTATTGAGACCATCTCAGGAATAAGTGTTATAATTTGGCTGTAACCATTCCTCTGGGATGGCCAGTAATGGCCACATTGTTTAAGTGTGGCCTGTGTTTGACCCTTTCTAAAATAGGGAAATTATTTTACTGGGATTGTTAGCAGTAAGCCTCTTCTGTATTGTTTGGAGAGCAAAACAGCTGAAAAATCTGTGATTTAGGTTATCAAATTGTTCAGTGTCTTGCAGAGGACGGGCTAATGGGTTGATATCTTGATGTTATTCTGGAAACTCTGCGATTTGCTTGCAGTTGGCAAAATGCAAAAAGTTCTGGGACAGAAACATGTTTTAAAAGATTTTTAGACTTGCTGGTTTCATCTGACAGTAGTCTGAGCACAGATAGCAGTTGCTTACAAAAACAAATGTTTTTATATAATTATATCATAATTTTTTGCAGTTAGGGAAAAACAAAACAAAAATCAGCTTGATGATCAAAGATGTCTTTGGATAATAACAGACTGTCTTCGCAGTCTATAGTTTTGATACTCCCAAGAGCAGAGACCATATGGATTCCCAAACATTGATATTTTCAGGGACTCTTGGATGGAGAAGCAGTCCTTTCCTACCAGCCACCCCCAAATCACAAAGTTAATGTTGAGGTTTATTTCTCGCTGCTGTGGCATTTAAGAACATATCTTAAAGTGTGATTACTACAGGAACTCCTTGTCTGGAAGATAGAACTTGTGATTGTTCTCAGCTTCCCAATAATAGATAAAGAACTGCACAATGCTTTGTAACTGCAATAAACTCCTTGTTGCTTCTTACATCTAATATTGGCAAACTTTTACCTAGCAAATCTCCAAATAGTAGTTTTAACCTCATAGCATTCAGCATCTGTAAAAACTGCAGTTACCATGGTAACAAGTTGTTACCTGAGTGACCGTGCTCTTATGATGTCATCAGAAAACAGCCTGTTCCAAGGAATACCTTGAACTCCATATATAAAAGTGCTGCCCTCGCTGTGGTTCAGTATGGAAACAATTAGAAACTCATATTTTTATGTCGTTATGAAATACCTCTTCTCAATCTGTTGGCACATCTTGACATCCACAGTGGAATTTTTAAATAAAATAAGAGAATTATTTTGACCTTGTTGAAAGAGAGTTATGTAAAACGTGTATCTGGCAGTGAGTGTTTGTTACATTAACTGTAATCATTTCATGCCTATCTGCTGTAGACTGGCTGTTGTTTAACTATAATGTGTTATTTTACATTGCAAGATTCATATGAGTTTCTGATCTCCACTCCTTAAAGAACCACCGTTTAAAATCTTAATGCTGATTTATTCCTCTCCACTCTTGGTACTTGACAAAGAATGTTCTTTCCTTGACATATATTTCTATATAGAAATAAAGAGTACTTTACAAATTTTACTTTTTTACTAACCCAGATTTGTACATGAAAAATACCAGATGAAGATGGAGAATATAAGTTGGCACATGCTGGTTTGGGAGCAGAAGCAGGGAAGTTGCTACTGGTCCTGTACCAAATGTAGGGTTTTTGCATGTCCTTGTCTAAGAAATGTTCAGTAGAAAGAGAAGCATGTGGCCACTCTTCTGGCTTTTTCTAGTTGTGTTGCCAGACATCCAGGAACTTGCGCACACACACACCAGCAGTGTGACCAAGCTTCTCTCATGTGGTCTGTGAGAGTGTTGGCTGAGACTATTGCTTGCAGTCCTAGTGCTATGTGTGATAATCAGTCAGGCATGTAATGGCACAGCTACCTCTTGTACCATGAAGTGCGTGCTCTGCCACTGACCTTGCAGGTCAGGCTGTTGAGGTGCAGGACAGAGCTTTGAAGGGATCCAGCGCCTCATGTCTGGGCTGAGGAGCAGAATGCAAAACTGCCATGTCTTGGTCTTTTGTTGCAGGGAAAAGTTTGCACTATTTATCTATCTTTCACTTCAAGACAAATGAAATATTTTGCTAAATCTTTTGTATATGTTGTCAGAGTCTTCCACCCTTATAAAATGAAAAGAATTGTTTCCTACAGTTAAAGATTGGTGTTTAGAAATATAGCTAGCCCTCCTAGTGCTGGGAATGAAATATAAAAATATTCTTCTTTCATCCAGAAGAAAAAATTATAATTGGCCCCATCTGCTTTTTATAGTAGCATTTATTACCTATTGACTTTTTATTTAATTTTATTCCCTTGGAAAAGCAAATCATTTATATTTTGTTTCATGTAGGATGCTTTGGACTCGATCTATCTAGCAGCAGAAAGAGCTGGAGAATGGAGCAACAACTGTATTATTGAAGAGCTCCATAGCCACAGACTGGGAAAAGCATGATCGGATGTGATTTTCAGAACAGATGCCCAAGCAGAGTTGGCAGTTAATTAAAAGCACTATGTACTTAATGATTAACTAATCACAGCATGATGGCATTCAACGGAGATGCAAGAAACTTCTCTGCTGGATTCAAGAGAGAAACTCCTAATGTCTGCCTTCAGGGTACCGTACTTACAGTCGTTTGCTTTTGCGTTACCAGCAGAGACAACACGAGCAGTTAGTCTGGCAAATTTCATTAAGCATTGCTTAGTTAGAACTTTAAAAGCAGGAAAGATGAGCTTAGTCAATACTTTAACAGATGTAAATACTGCACAGTTTGTCTTTAGCAATAGTATTCTGCAACCATACTATCAAACAAAATAATTGTGAAGCACTAGAAACATTTAATCATGTTTTGTGAGGGAGTTATCTTAAGAAATATTTCCATTTTACCAATGAGTAAATGATGGGACAGAGAGCTTACCTGACATAAAAAACATGTATGTAAATAACAGTCTAGAAAGCTCTGGATTTTCACAAGAGCTGATATTTCTTTCCTTTGCTAGAGAATTATAGAATCATTCTTGCAGTAAAACACCTATTCATTTCAACGTTACTTTTTTACTCACTTTCTTCAGTATGTTTTATTGTTTATAATCTACTAAAATATTATTTATTTTGCACAGAAAATGCTTTTTTTTTTACCTGAACTTATGTACAGCACCCAACACCATGAGATTCTGTGGTGTGAGAAACAAAACAATTGCAGTATTGCGTTTCTACATTTCATAGGCTGTGTTTATAGAAAAACCAGCTACGTGCAAAATGTGGCGCAAAAAGCAGTTGCTGAGGCACTTTCAACCAAATCAGAAAGCAAATTTCTGGGAAATCTCTGGATGATTGCATGAAGCACAATTCTGCTCCATAGCATGGATGCAATCCAGAAAATTAGAGATAGAAAGGAGAATGACTGTGAATTTTTAAAGAAAATATAACAGTTTGAATACGATGATGATATTGAAGAGAGCATTTTAAAATTATTTTTTGAGATTGCCAAAGGTAACTGTTCAAGTGTGGACAAGTTTGGCAAAATCAGATGCTTTTTGCAGTAGTAAAGTACACTGCTTAGCTTTCAGGATGTCTAGGTACTATTCCTGACTCTTGCATTGCTGCAAGTGCAGGGTACTGAATCTGGCTCTCTTTGCTTCTCACATCCTAGGTTAACAGTGATTAAACACGTAGACAATACACGAGAGATCCTTGGCTAGAGCAGGCTATCACACTTGACACCAGACCAGATGGGCTTATTTCATTCATACAGTTAGAATTTGTTTTTCTCCCTTACTTTCAGGTATGCTTCAGTGGAGGGGGGGGAAAAAAAAAGTGATTGTTACCTCCTTTTTCTCCATTGCCACAACTATTTGGTCTGTACATGCTGTATTTCACTGTGGTATTAGCTCTTCCCTAAGCAAAGCTTTTGGAAACATCAAAATCAGCTTTTCTTTTTCAGGAAGTAGATGGAACAACAGGACTGGGCAGCATCTCTGTGGTAGCAGCAGCTGTTCAGCACACTTTCCCATTGAGACAGGTCTTTGCCCCCTCATCACCCTAATAACCACCTTCTGCTCACTCTGCACTCTCTCCAGTCTTCTTGCACTAACTTCCCAGTCCTCAGCAGAACAAACGAGCAGTGAGCTGCTTGGCAAAGCACAGAAGATAAAGGTGTCAAGAAGAGATTCAAGTCTTTGGTGTCTGCTGGAAGCAAAGATGACTTCTGGATCCATGTGGCACTACTGCAGTTTTCTGGTGTCGCTGCAGACAAGAGGAGTTTGTCTGCCCTGTGGCTGCCAGCATGTAACTCAGCAGATCTGGGACCTTGTCCTAGGGATTTTCACATGGACAGTAAGGACAAGGCAGCCCAAGTAGTGTTCTTGGTCACTGTCCAGAAGCCTTAAAAAGTAAGGAACATGTAAAATCCCTTGATTTTCAGTTTCAGGTCACTCGTTGTTCTATGGAGAAACCTGTGCAAGGTCCACAAACTAATTACATTTACAGCGTACTCATCTCTACAATGAAGTTGATCTTTCAAGCAAGATAAACTAAGAAAATATGGTCATTCCTGCTGTTCTGTGGGGATGGAACTGTGTTAGGAAATTGACATTCTATGATTGATCCTGGGGCGTATGGATTCTTGAACTTCTGGGCTCTTTGACAGCCATTATTATTTTGAATTCTAGCAGCTAGAATAAAAGTCCTGAATATTTACCTGCTGGGATGCAGATTGATGGTAGCTTGAAATAGGATTAGGGTAGTGAGCTGCCCTGGGCAGCTCTGTTGGAGTATTAACACATACATCTCAGGCAACCTCAATGTCTATTAGCAGAAGTGTATGGCAGGATGAGGTGAGGTGAGGGCAGCCACCTAGAGTCTGAATGAGAACTGAAGGCCACCTGGGAGCACCTGAAGCTCTCAGATCCCCAGCACCTCTCTCTGAAATAATGTATTTCCACAATGCAGTAGAGGTAGATAGGCTAGGAGCTCAGCTTCCATGTCAACTGAAGTGATCTTTTCTCTCCTAAAGTTTCTAGCCCCCAGCTGCCTCTGGTAAGAGGGGAGACCCCAGGGCTGCGAAGCCATCACAGAGCTTCCAATACTCAGAAGTGGGACTGCTGCTGGACCTTTGTGCGAATGCCTGAATCTATGTATTCTCTCACCTCTTTTCAAAAGGGGCACCATCCTGTTCCTGTGATTTTCTAGCTGTTTTTTATTGCTTTGCTGTGAGGAAAGATATAAGTCAATAAACTTGCCGATAGAGGTTGTTTGTTGAGAAAGCAGAATAACAGTTTTATTCAGTGGCTGACCAAGTTAGAGGCAAGAAGGAACACAAATGTTAGTACAAACTGATCTGACAGTAGATGCTTGCTGCTCTGAACAGTGCAGCAGAAGTGATGCTGAAGTGAATGTGCTTCATGCTTTCCACGTATAGAAGAATACAATGTCCTTGCTTTCAAGGTAGAAAAACAAGTGAAGGAGTGCAACGTGAGCAAAGCGTGAAGTGGCTCCTCTCCATGGTAACATGTTGAATAAGTAACATCTATTTGGTGGTAAGCCATATAGGATGCTCTTGAGCCCCACAGGAAAAAAAGCACCTTGAATAGTTCTGTGTGTGTACTCTGAGATAACCACCCAAGCACACAGTGATGAGACACTTTCAGACTGTGATTCAGAAAATGATGTTTGAGTTGTGGGGTGTTACTTGTTTCTGTAGGGGAACCGTACTATCATATCAGATATGCTTTTTTCTTTAAAAAAAAAAAAACAAAAAACAACAACTAGCTCATAAAATGAAGAATATTTTTTAAAAGTATCCGGGTAGCTCATCAAAAAGACCTTTAGCTTTAATGAAACATTCAGATGTTATCTTCGTATTTCAGTATATTGGGCCTAAAAGAAGCTGACTATTCCCATGTGATAGTAGTATGAGAATAATGGGAGAAGCCAAAAAAGGTGAATATTTATCTTGTTTCTGATTTCTATGTAGACTTATGTGTATGTATGTAGTAGATTGAGAATCTTTTGTCATGTGATGGGAGGATTGGCCCTTCCCTCATGGGAAGCTGGCGGAGAAGTGAGAAGGACGAGCTTGACTGAGATAAAATAATTTACTAGAAAAAGTAAAATAATGTGATATAATAGAAAAGGAATCAAGGATAATAAATCAAAGAAATGGGAAAGGAAATGTCTCCTAACTGTACTGCAAGGCTTGGTGGGTGGAGCCAAAAAGGGGCATCCTTCTGTCATTAACTCACTTTGTCTCTCCCTCCTTCAGAGGGCTGGAGCATCTCTCCTATGAGGAAAGGTTGAGGGAACTGGGATTGTTTTAGCTTGGAGAAGAGAAGGCTCCAGGGAGACCTGGTTGTGGCCTTCCAATACTTGAAGGGAACATATAAACAGGAGGGAGAATGGCTGTTTACGAGGGTGGATAGTGATAGGACAAAGGGGAATGGTTTTAAACTGAGACAGGGGAGGTTTAAGTTAGATATTAGGAGGAAGTTTTTCACCCAGAGGGTGGTAACGCACTGGAACAGGTTGCCCAAGGAGGTTGTGGATGCCCCATCCCTGGAGGCATTCGAGGCCAGGCTGGATGTGGCTCTGGGCAGCCTGGTCTGCTGGTTGGCAACCCTGCACACAGCAGGGGAGTTGAAACTAGATGATCATTGTGGTCCTTTTCAACCCAGGCCATTCTATGACTCCTGGAAACCACTTAGGAAAGACTGGAGCATTCTGGGAACTATAGTTCCTGCAGTTTTTCTGCAGTTCTCCTTTAGCAGCTGTCTCATTTCCATCAGTTCTATGCATGATGTCATGATACGGAATACATATAGAAAACCATGACAACATACCTGTACAGTGTACAGTTATCTGTTCACTTATCTGTACACTGTACCAGTTACTCTGTACACTTCTGTATCTGTTAGGATTTTCCTCTGAATATTCAATCACTCCAGGACAAAGCCCTAGAAAATAGATGCCAAGAAACAGCAAGGCTAGACAGCATGATTTGTGGTAACTAAGGCACTAGGCCACTCTGTGTAAAGAGCCAGCACCATTCAGAAGAGCTAAGCAATCAAGCTCTGATATCTGCCGGTATAGCAATTGAGGACCATCAGAGAGGGAACCTAAGTACAGCCAACTTGTGATGGTGTTTTCTGACCCCTTCCCTTGGGTAACTACTTAACATTGTCCCTTCAAAAAGGAACAAACTAGGAGGAGAAAAGAATGGGGGAGAGAAAGCAGTAGTCCTGCTGATAGTTCGGTGTTTGTATGTGCATCCATTTGAGGGTGAGCACTCCTTTCTGTATCACTTCGTGAAACATAACAGCTGGTTCATGCTCTGTCAGAAGTATTAATGGAAAATCAATGATTGCCAAAAGGAGTAGGAAAAAAAACCACTAAAGCAGCAACAAAATGGTCTTGAAGTTGAAATGTTCAAATAATAGAGAATAAGCTAAATTGCAAAGAGTGTTTGAGAGTTTGAATGCCTTTTTTAAACACCAAAGACTCAGAGGCAAAGATTACTGCAGTTAAAGCTCTGAGCTGGGATGTGGATAGCTGCAGAAGAAAGACTATTTTGTATAATTGTTAGAATGAGAAAAGTTATTGCTCCTTTTCAAACTGTAGACCACTGATGTCATTTATTGAGTGATAAAAGTGGTCGTTCAGTATGTTTGTCTCATTTCTGTGTTAGCCTGAGTTTGTAAAAATGTCTGTTTTTTAATTATAAGATTTCAGCTCGAATTTCTTCCTATCAAGGTTGTCATATTTTCTGAAAAGCAAGATGTTAAAGGTATGTATTATGCTACATAATATATATAATATACATTATGATTAATGTATACCAGAGTTTGTACTGAACAGCTATTGTCATTCTGTGAAAATTACTGAAAGTACTAACTATATTTTCTGAACTTAATCCTTAACTAGTTTTGCTAGCTTTGTGGGATTATTCTCTCTTTGCTAAGATTTAACCAATAATCTGCAAAGCACAGTAGTGAAGCAGATCTTTGAAAAGATACGTATAAATTTTACTTTGCATTGTATTGTAGTGTGCTTACCTTTCTTAAAAATATGTATTTTAGAATAGATATGCATTAAATAATGAAATGTCCTCAGACATGTTTTCTGAAACAGGAATAACTGTGCTCTCTTCTATATTTACAAAGTAGAAAATTATTTTAAAAGAAAGACTTTTCACATGCAAAACAGTCCCCAAGATATATCAGCTGGTTCTGCTCCTTGCCCTGTAAACTTCTGCTTTAATTTTCAGGCTGAACTGACCTTGCACAAACTTCGCCAACCTGAGCAATCTTCTTCCAGATGGGTGCTTCATTATTTAAGTGATACTGCACTGTTAAGCTCCTTCAGAAATGGACATGCCAACCAACGTCTGGTCCTCAGATCCTCATCTCCTGTAAGTAGAAAATGTTGTACAGATTGAGAGCTGATTCCATTAGCTCTAGGGAGATTCACATAGATTTGAAATGTTAATCAATGCAGTTCAGAACACTCTAAAAACTTCTGCCCTGAAAATGGTCCTGCTTCATGTATGAAGCTATTTAAATGTTCACAATATTAAATATTTTTGTTAGATTTGATAACAAATAAGCTTTAATCATCAGTTTTTATATTGCACTTTAATTTTTTATTTTATTTTAAGCAAAACAAAACAGGTTCTGCACATTTATATTTCCAAGTTACAGCTACCATGTTATGAATGAGACTTCCACCCCTTTCCTTCTGTGTTTATCCATAAAAAGAGAAAGTCAGCTGAAGCACCTGAGAAAACTGACTCTGCTCAAGAAAACAGCTCAGCTTAATCAGTGCATGCCACATAATGAGAGGATTTTAAAATAACAATTTAAAAAACTTACCATGGCTTCTACAGAGAGCAGGGGGGATTTCTAACAGCGTTTGTTTCCCACCTAACTTGATGATTGTTGGTGAGTTTCACTTTCCAGACAGAAACATGTTCCTGGAGGCAAGACAGTGGCAGACCCCAATCTCTCTCTCCCTCTCTCTCTCTTTTTTTTTTTAAAAAAAAAAACAGCTTAAGAATTTCACACCTCACTAAGTGCCAAATTTAATTTGCTATTTTTTTTATAAAGACTATTTGCACAGTGAGGAGGCTGTTGGTTTAAGCAGGGCCTGAAAGACTTTGAGCATTTAGAAGCGTGCAGCAGAGCATGCCAAATTAAGCTGGTAGTCTAAGTGCAGGCAGTTTCTTTGATTTTTCACTAATTTATTGCATGTGTAATTATTTAAAGAATTACACATGGAGCTGAAAGAAAATTCTCTGAACTGACTGGGAAATGATCCTTTTAAGCTTAACAAGTATGTATGATACTGTGACAGTTACAGAATCACAGTACAGTTAAGATTGTAAGGGGCTTCTGCAGGTCTTCTTCCCCACTCCCCTCCTCCAAAGTTATCTGAATGAGAACTCTACTAATGACGCGAAAGATATTTCATACATTCCTGTACACGTGACTGTTTGGGAGGAGTTTTCTTCATTAACTGATTGTATTTACAACTTTTGACATTTTGTTATTTGTTCAGCCAGCAGCTTCCATTATAGTCCCTGCTCATCCATATCACCATGTATCTGAGGTGATCTTCAGGTCCTAGATAAAAGAGACTACAATGGTGTTAGAGAAAACATTTCTGATTCGTGGATCTGCTAATATGAGTAAGTGAACTAGGAAAGAAGGAAGGAAGTAGACAGTGTATGAGACATCTGCCCAAAAAGACATAGGAAATGAGAGTCAGAGCAGAGAAATGGATCAAAACTCAGGACTTTAGCTATAGCCTTGTACCTGGTACCAGTATTGTCTGCACCCATGGTGCAAGCTCTTCTTTGCTTTGGAAGAACATTCCAACCTCTCGTTAAAATCTACTAGTCTTTTCTTGTTGAATAAGTAATCTCATATTATAGATAATGACCATACTAAGATATTTTCATGTGTATTAGTAAATCAGGCCTATGCATTTGATGATCCTTGTGGGTTTCTTCCAACTCAGGATATTCTATGATTACCAAAGCTATGGACTAACTACTTAGCTTCAGCTGAAAACATGGGCTGGTATAGAGTGTTTCCACACTTGAGATAAAAAAGAGAGATTTTGCAGTTATCTTTTTCCTGTGTATCCTATTTCCACGAATTCATTACTCTGTATAAGTAGGTCTCCAGGGTCTCTTGAACACACTCTCAATTGTGTAAAATCTGCCTAAGATTTGTTTGAGCTTTCAACAACCACATAGTCATGGTTAGCTTGCCACAACTTAATACCATGCTCACCCAACTGGTTATGGGAGAACTGGTTTAGGATTATGCTAACACAGCAGTGTTGTTTCAGTTTGCCTCACAATGTGGACAGACCTGGTGCGTCATTTTGTGGGGATCAAATAAGTGCATTAGTGGAGTGCAGTTGCAGGTACTTCCATGAGAAGAGAGCACCAAAACTGCTTGTCTCTGTGTGAATGTATATTTCAGAGATGAGACAGGCTACTGGTATGAGGAAAAGAGAGCAGAAAGCACACGTTACTTGCCTTAATAGCACTGTCAAGAATTTTTGGCTTTCCTCCTTCAAAAGCATTTGAGAAGCAAACAGAGGGGACAGCTTAAAATAAAAGTTGCTCTAGTGGGTGAGATGCGGAGGCAGGTCATCCTCAAGCTGCACTTTAATTGTATCACGATGGATTATCCCCCATCTGACACGCTCTTAGCTCTTTAAAAATCCAAGCACAAGATGTTTAGCTTAAAATTATTTAACAATATTTTTATTCTGTTAAGATCTTTTTTTCCCCAGTGTAAGTAAGTATGCTTAGCTCCCAGCTTGTACTGCTGGTGCCTTGCTGCTGGAATGCACAGAGTAACTCTTGTTTTAGGTGGAACCTTGGTAGTTCATGAGCCTATTACTGGAAATTTTTAGAGTATGTTTTGCATCAGAAATCTTTATTCAGTTAATTCTTTAATACTTACTGAAGCAAAATTCTCTTTGAACACATCAATGGAAAACAATTTCTGCCATAGGTTTACAGTTGCAACAGGAGTGAAACACATCCTTGTGCCTATTTAATCTTCTGCAGAAACAACAACAAAAAAACACCTGCACTTAATAGGAATTCAAAGACTTTTTAAGAAAATAAATAATTCCTGTCTGAAACAGTGCCAGGGTTTTATGTCTAGAAATGCCTTTTCTTCTGTATTAAAAGTACCCCGTTTTGGAGGCTAATCAATATGGAGCTGTGTGAACAAAGGGTGATGCTTGACTGTAGTGGAATTCATCGACTAAGAGATGTTATATGTAACACCTCAACAAACTAGGATTTAACAGTTTCTAGATCATGCTTGAACTATTATCCAGGGTATTAAATTTTACCCTAAATGCATTACAACTATAATCATAGTTTGAATAACAAAAAACAAAAAAGAAACAACAAAAAAAGAAACAACAACAAAAAAAAACTGAAAAAAAACGTGCATGAAAACTGCTGGTCACAGATGTGAATGGATTGCTCCACACGATGGGCAGAGTTTCTACTCTGCTTCTACTTGAAAAATTATATTCTCATGCCTAACTAAGTTTATTGCCTCTTGTAAAATTCCTTTAACAAAATATCCCCCAAGTCCAACAGTTTTTCTTTGTGAATGATGTCTGCCTCTTCTAAACTTTTGTTTTCAGTTGGGACATTTTTAAAGCAATATTTGATTTTGTCTGAAGTAAGCTGTCCATAATTCTTGATCATCTTTGACAACTACTTGCCTAACTCACACTGCATTCAGCTTTGTCAGCGTATGTGGTTTGCACACTTATGCAGCAGCTGTGCTGTTTTGTGTCAGCAATGCTGGAAATAGATGTTACCTGCTAAAGAATAGCCCTGGTGGGGAAAAGCAGAAAGGATACTGAGACTTATCTTTCTTGGAACAAATAGCTCCACAGTAAACTTGTTTTATGTTGCAAATGTAGGTTCTTTACTTGAAGAAAATTTTAGCCCTTGTTAAAGGAGCAGTTCTCTGAATTATCTAGTTAAAACAAAAATGTATGAGCTCTGATGCACGCAGAATGGCTCTGCTCATTGAAGTAGTGCAAAGCAAATGATTCTTTTTGATGATCAGAAACTGATCCAGTGCATGTGGTCCAGCTCTGATCTGAAAGTGCCTTGGTTGCAGTGCAGGGACAAACACCCTTAACAATCTTTGTTGTAGAGAGCACCTTCAGAATGTTTTTCCTGGGAAATCAGTGAACAAATTTCTCACTTCCAAGAGCCCCCTGCTGCTGAGAAGGTTGCAGTGCCCTGTGCTACTAACAGTCACAACAGGAGCTTTGCAAATTAAAATCACCCTTTTTCTTTTGGTGCTAAATGGGGACTTTCAGAAGTACTGCAATGTTACTTTGCACAAGAAGACTTCTAACGCCAGTATACGATTAGAAATATCACAAGTAGACAATATCAGGGCATTCTGTGAAAGTTTTCTTAAGTATGTTGCCTTTCTGTTGCTCTCAGGTGCTTGTGATCAACTGTGTTTGCTGTACCTGAATCTTCACATCTGCAAACTTAAAATCAAAACTTCAGAAATTTGCTTCACTTCAAATATAGCAATGAAAAGAATTTAGCAGTATTTTCGTGTCATTGAGAGCAAATTAGCAGCCTTTTGTAATTCTAAATTTTGTTCCATATTCTTTTAAAATATTTCTGCTTTTATTTACTGTATATTTATCTTCCCAACTGTAGGATCTGCAGGCTTTTAATCCACAGGTTTTTTTCCTGCTTTTAGCGTTAGAAGTTGGCAGGCATCTTCTTGTGATCCTTTTTTTTTTCCTCTCCCATAAAGGTGCTGGAACTGCTCATTTTTTAATAGTAGTAATTTCCTCAGTTGAGTAGTTACCTATTTTACTTATTCCTTATTTTATAAGAAGAGACAAAGCACAAATGCAACTGATAAACCTGACATTGGATTACTTAAGTATTTAAATTAAGCATTTAAATATTTTATTATTATTATTAGAGTATAATTTATAGAAAATATCCATCAGTCTTTGCCAAGTATTCCATTCATCTGAGAGACTGCTGAAACAGTTACTCTTCTCTTTTGAGTAATGGTTCCACAGGACACATTCTGCAACACTCATTCTCTGAGTAGTGCTTTACTTTGCCTTTCATTCTACAGTTATCAGAGGCACTGAGAATCAAACCTTCTGTTAACACACGAAAGCTTTACTACCCAGAAAAGCGTGTCAGCTTTTTTTTTTTATTTATTTGTTCAGAGTTTTTTACTTACTGCCTTCTAGGTCAAATGACAAGTAATTGGAGGCGAAATGTAGCTTCAAAGTTCTCTTTTGTAAGGAACCTAATTATGTAGCTTGTCCTACTAGAAAAATATTTCTGATCAAGAAAGTTTACTGCATCATATTTCTCAAAGGATGAACCTACTGAATCTCTAAGCTGTTTTTCTTCACTAGCCTGATTCATCTAGTGAAAGTGGGGGAAAGTACAGTTATCTACAGTTATCAGGGCCCCAAAGGCAGACAATGAAAGCTGAGAAATTGGCTTCTTCTGTTGCTGACTCTCTCTTTAGGAAACAGCTTCTGCTTATCTTAAAGAAAAAAAAAAAAGTGTTTTGTGGTTTTGTGGGTTTTTTTTTTGGGGGGGGGGGGAGGGGGGAAAGGGGGCGGGGTGAAGGATTTTTTTTTTTTTTAAATAAACTTTCAGATGAGTAAATAACTTAACAGATGAACCAATATTCAGTGACATATTTTGTCCCGGCTTCTTTCTTCTCTAACGCTTCTAATAATCCTAATTAAGACAAATGCATTTAATGTTTTCTTTTAGAAGTAAGTCTGCAGTAGCAACTGTCCTTAGCTAACACTTTAGGAAAACAGGTATTTTAAATTTCTTTGCATCTTGCATTAAAAATATCATAACAGATAGAGAAATAGAGAGGTAGAATTTTTCTTTAGGTATGCCAGATCTGCTTGCTTTCGAAGAGCTGTTATTGTCAGAGGTCCAAAATGGGCCAAGTCAAATTAGCACTAATTAGCACTTCAGCATCATTTGTGCTGCAAATAGAGCATTTACTGCAACTTACTACTGCCTCATTGTGGTAGCCTGTGAATAAATCCACAAGTACCTAGCAGATGCTCACACTTTTAGGGAATATAAACCATGCCGCTAACTAGGTAGCCTAATAATCTAGATTTATGAGAACACTTAATACGATAATTTTAAAATATATATATATGTATTACTTTCTGCTGCCATAGTGTGTGAATAACGCATTAATATTGAGGCAGCAACTACATATGGTACAGTTAATTAGCTTCTGTTTTCTAAAGCATTGTTCAAAATTTCTCTAAATTCCATCCAACAGTTGCTTTATCATAAAGCAATTTATTGTTGCTTAATATAGTCATACTAGCTTATAAGTTTATAAACAAGAATCTAGAAGTTTTATTTACATGAAAGGGCTGTTTTGCTCACGTTTCTGCCTGCATGCTTGCCCAGATTCCCCCTCCCATTATGAAAGCCTAGAGTGGAAGTGGTGGAAAAGAAATGATGTGGAGGGTCTCTTCACAAACCAAGGGACAGCACATTCTTTTGCAAAATTCAGTGATGCTTCTCTTTGGCTGTATGAACAGCTGTGGCAACAGCCCTAAGCAGGAGGAAGGAGTGTGGATACAGTGGCAGATGAGATGGAGCAGGAGAGAGTAGACAGCATTTGGTTGAGCAGTTGGATAGGGATGAATTTAAAGCAACAGAGACTTGGCAGGAGGGTTTTGAAAATGGTCAAAGCATGGAATAGAAATAGTAGCATGTCCCATGATGCTGACAAAAGATCACTGAAAGCCTGCATAAGGACTCTTAAATATGTTTGATCTGAACAATGTTTCTAATGCTAATGAGACTGGACATGCTTTCTAGGACTACTCTAAGCTTGTTTTTATGTTTTAATCATTCTAAAGTTTTTGACAGCAAGAAAACAAATGAATTGCCTCTGCCTCCTCCCAGAAACCATGACAGAGAGAAGAGCTTTGATTTTATCTGATTTAGAAAACTGTTAATGCCCAAATATTTAAAGCAAAAAAAAAAAGTTCTTCTAATGCATCATCATGAAGAACTACCTCCATTTCTTTCAGTGAACATCTTATCCAAAGGGATGAAACCTTTCAGTAGTAAAGCAAGAAAATTGCCTTGGAATGAATGAGTTCACTGGTCATCCATCTACTGCATTTTAAAACAGTAAATGGTCTTTCTGACATCTCTTCGCACCAAATATCAGTTCTCATTTTCAAAGACTTTGTCTGGCAATTGTATACATAAGGGAATGCTGCTTAGAAGTAATAAAACATGCTACGGATGTGATGAAATAAAATTAATCTATAATGCCATGGAGGAAGCATATGTTGAATGCTTCTCTCAGGGATAACGGGGGTATTTAATCACTAAGGCTTTGGCTTTTGGCCTTTAAAGTGTTTGATTACATACATTTAAGAGTCCTAGCCCCTAGGGTATTACAAAGAAGTTTGGAAAGGTTGGGGCTAGATTGTTGACACTGCAGGTATTTATTTGTTCTGATATTCACTAAAACTTAAATAAAACGCATTAAATATCACACTTGGTGTTTATAATTTCTGTTGTGATAAAGTCAGAAAAAAATGGCTTTTTTGTGTCTGAATTTTAACTGTGAAAATGATAATATGAGAGATGATGATAATTCAGTATTATGTTTTCACTTCTCTTGACTATGAGTAGCATTACCTGCCTGCCTTAGTGTTTAAGGAAGCTTTGCTCTCTGGTGATTATTGTTATTGCTTCTACATCCTCACACAAAACATAACACCAATTTGGCATAAATTCTTTATATAAATGCTACTTTAAAATGCTACCAGGGATAAAGATCGATCTTTTCCATGATCCTTGGTGATTCTATGATTTATTAAATCCTTCTGAGCAGTAACATCCAGGAGGGTTTAATGGAGCCCCCATCAAACACAAACACTGAGGAAGATGGACAAATGCTTCTGTGTATGCTGCCTGCAGTATGGAGGGGAACAGAGCAAGGAGAACTTCTGTAATTTACTATCATATGGAAAAAAAAAAGAATTAAAACACATCACCTAAACCAAAGCCCAGTAAAACCTGTGGGAGGCTTTCTGTTGACTTCAATGCTCACTAGGCCTGGTCGATAGATTTCTAAAATATAAAGCTTTTCACATTGTGTGTTGAAGAGATTTTTCATGCAGCGGACACACAGAATGAAATTGTTTATTCTCTCTCTTTCCCAGATTTGTCCTTGAAGAATACTCTTGAGCTGAATGTCACTTAACTTTGAGCAAAGTTGGATTCTAATCTGTACTGTGAGGACAGAATCTTCTTGTTTGTTGTGACATGTAATTTCTTTCTCATTTGCTGCTCTTTTCTTGGTTATCTGCAGGACAAAGGATTCTGAACCTCAAATAGAACTGCAGATGGAACTGGACTATGAGGACCCATTTCTCTCTACCACATCAGAATGCTTGCTATTTCCCTTCTGTGTCATGGAGTCACAGTTGTATGTGCAGAGTTGCCTTTAAACACAGATGCCGGTGAGTGTAATTTTTTCTCAGCATGAATGTGCAAGATAGAATAACTAGTAAAAAAAGTTAAGATCTGTGTTTCAGATAGTTAGATATGAACACACCAGCGTGTTGGTGTAGCTTCTTAATTGATTTTGTCGTCTGTTATTTGGCTTCCTGAATTCTTCTTTGAACCAAGCACCTACATGCAGAGGTACGTAAATCAAAGACCACAACAACTGTGTGGATCTGTATTCAGCAGTACCAGAGTACATCAGTGATGTGAATGGTTCAGAAAAGTGGAAGGGTTCTTTACAGTTCCACACATGGAACTAGGTAGGAGCAGGGCCCAGCCTGTCCACAGGGGAGGGCTCACTCCCATTCACAAAGAGAACACCATTGCTGAAGAGAAATTATCCACACTTGCTCTCTTAGCATTACAAATATTTACTTAAAATCAGCTTTTAGTGTTTACTATGAGTGGATGAGTACATCTTGAACAATTAATGTTCAGCGCAATCCTGTCATCAAGCCACATAAATATTTTAGACAGTGAACTACCTAAAGTGTAACCTTCTCTGTTGTGCTAAACGCAGGAGAAATAAGAGATATGTAGCCAGGCCAAGGATTCTGCATCAAAACTGACTTGTTTAAACACAGTTATATTCTTTATGTATTCAGCCAAAATCAGCTCGGAAAGGCAATTGAACAGTTTACTGTGGCACTTCCAGCATCTTGCCTAAACAGTGAGGCTGATATCTTTGGCAAGTGCTGAAGCAGCAGCTGGTAGCCATGAATATTTTTGCTACACAGAAAAGCAGCAAGCTGTTTCTCATGGTACTCAAAGCTGTAGGCTCCTGAGCAGTACTGTCAAGGTCTCTCATAGGGAAAAGCATTTGTGCTTTTGTGCCCCACACAAGGCTGTCAGTGCCATCACAGCTTTGGCAATACACTGCTTCTGTCATCAAGCAATTCAGTGCGTTCATAGAAACAAAGGTCTTTATAGTGTGATTGCTGTTAGTGTGTTGTATAGATAAAGTGGTTGCATTTTGTTTTTCACCCACTCATTAAAACAATTTTTCAGTTTCTTTGTTTCTTTGCAGTTGAGAGAGATGAGTTTAGGAGGATGCAGATGAAAATAGTGCATGGAAAGAAATTTTCAATGAGGTCGCTTTGCTGTTTCTTCAGATAAGGAGAAGGTTAAGGACAACTATTCAGGCTTGCTGAGAACATGGATCTCTAGTAAAAGGTAGAGATTCTCAAATATTCATTAGATGGCTTATATCAGGAATGTCATAATGTTTTGCAAATCCATTTTTTGCCAACCATTTTTCTCTTTTCTCCCGCAATTCAATAGATTGGAAAAAAATGTATTTGTTTACAGGAAGGCTTTTCTCTTCTCTTAAAAGTATTTAGACTGATACAAAGAACAGAACAACATTAACACATCATTGTTCTGATCCTGACTTCATTTTCAGTCTGCTTTGTCCTTATATGAAATACTATGCTATGTTTAGGGCAATGGAAAATGGCTCCATTTGTGTGCTTTTAAAAAATCCTTTATGCGCTTGGAAGCTTGCCACCACTTAGTTGTCTCAGGGTGCTTGGAGTCATTTTTTCTGGAACAGCTGTGCCTGAACTCCAAAGGAGGGTATCCAAAGGGGATAAAGAGACCCATGGGTTGAGGGGGCTCTGCAAATGAAGTCAGTGAGACTTACAAGAATCAACAGCACACCTTGCTTCTTTGGATTTCATAAAAATGTCATTGTTCCAATTGCGGTTCTGTCTTGTGATCTGCCCCTCAAATATGTTCTTTTTCCAGAAAAAGTAATCTGTATATTTGTAGGTATGTTCTATCAAAATAACAACAATACAGATATGTTTGATTGGTCTTTCACAAGTTGTCTATTCATCACTGCAAAGCTGAAAACACATAGATGGAAAACGAAACAAAAAAAATGTAGTCTGCTTGAGGTGGATGTGAATCACCATTCATGTAAAGTTTTCTAATTAGATTAGAACTGGTAACACCAGTCTTTGTTTAAAAAAAAAAAAAAAAAAAGGAAAAAAAGGGAAGAAAAAAATAGAGAAAAAATAGAGGTAGTTAAGAACCTCCTTCCGAGCCTCCTGCAGAGTGAGCAGAAGGAGAGATAGTTACAGGAATTTCAAAATGCTTAATAGTCAGTAACAGTGAAAAGAGTTGAAAGATGTAGAAATCCTGTTTCACTGACAGGATCTGCTCTGTCGCAGCAAAAGCCTGCAGGGGACTGGTGATTCTGCACTAAGGTATTTGCAAACTCACTGGAATACTTTTTGATCCTGAAGCATGTAATTTATGAATGTAACTTTTTCAATACCCATCTAACACATAAAATACATTATTTTAATGCTGAAGAGATAATTCATAAATTGAAATCAAGTGAATCTGAATAGTTAATGTATGGACTAATTGGAGAGAATGGATCTGCAATATAATGAAGTTCTAAGGAGGTCACAGCTGGAATATTATAAGAAATACAGTGTTTCTCTTGTTTGTCTGAGAACGATTATCTATTTTAATTCTTCTTTATTGAAATATGAATCATGTCAGTCCAACCTTTGAGTTATTTCTTTATCTCTGCTTTGTTGCCTTCATGGGTTATACAAAACACAGCAGAGGAGAGCCATGAGACTATATATCAAGTATTATAGTACAGTAGTGTAATCACTATTCTCTCTAACACATTAGGTGTTGTCATCAAGTTTTATGAGTAAAGGTGTTTTGTTTTTTTCTCTGAATCTCCTAAAACTTTTCATCTTAATTAGCAATAGTATAAGGTTCTTTGTAAAGCTTGAAAATATTTTATGATGTGGAAGTTCTGTGGTAAAAGTACCGACTTAATATTTCTAAAGAAAGTGATACAAAATGATTTCTACAGCTCGGAAAAATGTCTTTATTAAAAAATAATTTTGCAACAGTTTCAGTAGGACTAGAAGTCACAGTAATTTCCCTTTAAGAGACTGGATGGTGAACTATGGCTTGCACATCACAGAGTAGCTGCTCTGAGCATGTCTGATCCCCACCATGCACCAGAGCCCTGTAAATGCTGATGTTGTGGCAGTGTCCTGCCTACATAATTAGGAGCTGTTCTCTTTCTTGTCCATGCTGTGATATGTTTTTCTACAGTCCCATGTGAAACTGTAGGTGCTTTTTGTCTTTTGACTCCAAGCAAAAAAAATTTTTTAATTGGAGGTCAGACTCCCACCGACCTCTGCAAATGCAAAGTGCATTATGTTATCAAATGACAAAATTTCAAAAGAAAAATAATACAAAGAGGTAATCTAGCTGTCAGTGGCCAATCCAACGAACAGATTTCTTAAAGATGAGCTTAGCTGCTCGCCACTAAACTTTCAACGTAGAAGAAAATATGGGTTAAATAGTCCCTGAGCTATGCATGATGGTAACACTGCTTCACAAGCAGCAGCTCCCCAGTGAGCTGGCACTAGTGCTGAGAATGTTGTTCCACACAGTGTTATTTCTAGTCCTGATGTTTTGCTCCTTTTTCTTTCTTTTTCTTTCTTTCTTTTTTTTTTAAAGAGATTGATGAATAGAAGACCCTGAATGAAGTGGTTTGGCATTTGTTTTCTGATGTGGCAAACAACAAACGTTGCTGTGTTCAAGGCCTCCTTAATCCTCAGCAGCATTAAACTAGCTGTGTCCTGTCATTATGAAACACTGGAGATATATTTTTTCATTAGCTGCAAAGTAGAATTTGACAAGAAAAGCTCTTGGAGAACAACAGACATTAAAAGACATCTTACACATTTGAATTGGGCATTTATAGGTTATTTTTATTATCAGAATTTTGTCAGGGGGCAAAAAGCTTACTCTTTAAAAACTCTTGGCACTGTTACTCTTGTGAGATTTGCCTTCAAGCTACCCTAAATTCTTCAACACTAAATTCTTTATGGACTCATGCTGAGTGCTGCATGGCTTCTTACATTCAAAAGAGCAAAGACATCCTGTAGTACTGATTGTCTGAAGACGAGCAGCCTGTTCAGCACTGCAGGACCCTACTTTGTCCTGCCCTGTTCCAGCTGCCACCAGGCAGGTGTCAACAGGTGAAGGGCTCTGAGGTAGCCTCCCTGTTTACCCATTGTGTCCCACAGAGCTGCTCACATGAAATGATAGACCATGCACAGCTACTTCACTGTTGTAATCTGAGCACCCTGCATTTTCTGTTTAAGTTGTGATCCTATTGAACTGGCTTGTTTTTCCCTGTATGTTGTGGTCTTATCACATGAAAAGAAGATTATTTGAACTCTCAGTGATACATACATAGAGTTATTTTCCTTCACTTACATTTTCTTTTTGAGTGATGGATTAAGCATGTGCATTTGTGTGTCAAAATATGTATCTCAAGTTCTGTAAAGGTAAGAAAATGTAATGTGTATATGCAGCAAAGCATCACAGTTTTGTGCTGATAGTGATTAGTCACTATGGAGCCTGGACAAGAGAGGTATAGTAAATGGTGGCATTTATGGAGAAGCAATTTGTCCGTTTGTGTCACTCAGTGCAACAGCTGCATCTGAAATCTGTTGCCCTTTGTTTGTAGACTGATCCTGGTATTTGAAACATTATGAGTACTGCACTGTTCAGGTGTCCAGAATTTGAAACGTAATCAATTATAATTGCTATAGATATGGGCTTTTATAATTGTAAGGTTCTAATGACAATTGCAAGGGAGAGCATCGGAAACTTTCAGCTAATCTTTATTTGTAGACGTTTCTATACAGTCTTAAAATAGCAGTAATTGGTGCAGTAAAAATAGATACAGCACAATCTCTGCTGCTACAGAAAGTAACTATACAGATAGATAGGTAATGTTACGAATAAAAAAAAATGAGATGTGGTACAAAAATGCAAGTCATGCTTTTAGATAGAAGATAGTTGGTTTCGCTACACTGGCTTCTAATGGCAATTTCTTCACAGGATGCTTTGGAAGTGATGGATTGAGGTGCACACATAATGACCTGTTCCAGTCAGAAACTGAGAGCCTCAGAAGGAGTTGCCAACCAGATCTATAGAATGAGATGTGAGTATATACAAGAGCAGTTCTAGTACATTCTGTGTGTCTGTCTTCCTGCTAACACAAGTAAAAAAAAAGTCAAGACTGTGCATTTTGGAGGATTAATTATCTGAGATTTTTTCTTTAATTTATTACCAACAAAAATAGTGTTCACTTTGTTTCTATTTTACAGGAAAACCCACATAATCTTTAAAAGGCATAAATAAAATGAAGTCCACATAGACTGTGGGTCTCTGCAACAGCTGTTCGTGTGACACTATATCTTAACTGCATGTGTTTAATCTTTCTTTTTTCCTGAGCAGCTGTCTCAATCTATCAAAATATTTGTAAATGGATTCAGTTTCTGGTGAAATTTGCTTTCACCAGCACAACAGAGAGACAGGGAAGACTTATGCCCTGTGGGAAGGAAAAAAAAGCAAAATTGTTTTTCATTCCAGGTTGAACAAATCAGTCCTAAGGCATTTGCCATGAAGCCTGTGTGAATCTAGTATTCTCACTTAACAGCTACCTTGGAGGTGGTGTTTCACTTCTTCAGATAGATTTTTCTGCAAGTAAGCAAGCATAAGCAAAATGGTAGGTGATGGACGGTTGTCCATTTCAGTAAAAGGAGAAATTCACCTTGAAAAGAGGGATATTTGGTGTCTTGTCCTATTTTTAGCCCTGACTTGTTGTGTCCTTATCTTATTTTCCTTCAGTGTGTGATGGGTTAATGCTTCATTCCTGTATTTTGGAAGTCCTCTGTAGTCTGAGGGTGCCTGTGGGCTGCTGTGTGACAACTTACTACTATAATGAAACAGATAAGCTGATAACAACTTCCTATCACTTCTCCAGTAAACTGCATACACATGCATTAGCCTAGCCTCCTTGTAATTGACCCTGACAGTACAGGCAGGGGAGGAGAATCACCAAAGCTTCTTGGCCTTCCAAGTCCATCACTGCCGTTCTTGTGAGATAACAAAGGTACCTGTGTTAAGCTCACTACACAGGAAGGAGTGACGTTAAGTCCTGATAAAATGGCAGTGAGGGCAGTTACCTCATTAGAAGATATCTCTTAACTGCTCTCTAGAGCTAACCTAGAGGAAACGAATTCACTAAAAGCACCAGACATGGGATCATTTTAGGAATGAAAGCCTGCAGATATGCCAGCATTGCCCACTAACATGCTCATGCAAACTTGTCTCACAACTTCTGCACCTCCAGTCTGATCAAAACTGTGCACCTGAGGTTGTAGATATCCACATGCTTTGATTGCACCCTGAATGAAGTAAGCCTTGCAGCTCAAGTCAATATATTGAACCTTAGCTCTTCCTATAAAACAGAAAATCCATACATCAAGTCTATTTTTAAGCCCTGAACTATAGCAACAAAAGTTAGTTTTGTGTGTTTGATAAAGCAAGGTGATTTCTGTGTGTGTAGGACTACCGGGGGTCTCACAGAAGAGCTTGCAGGAGGAGGGGATGGCTGGGTTAGTTGTATAACTCCGTTGATGTTTCAGCCTGACCTGAAGCTGCTTTTGGGATGACTGAAGCAAAGAATCATGGTTTTACACAGAGGCAGTACCAAGTGTTGACTGTACTGTATGTTTGTCATACTTTATGAACTCATTCTTCATCCTAAATTAGGATACAGGTAAGCCACAACCTTGTTGCAGGGCAGATCAGTAGGCAGCCACCCTATCTTGGCTGGGAGTTCTGTGTCTGTGTCCCAGCTGGGACCACTGCTGCTCTTGGTGTACCCAGCTGTATTTTAAGGCAGGTGTTGGGGATATAGGAAGACCAGCACTTGCAGTCATGTTAATTTAGCTTTGACCACTCATGTCAGAGCTGTGTGCAGGGACTTCACTATAAATGAGTCAGACCACTCATTATTTCACTTATGGGTCATCTGGCATTTCGGACCTCAGACTCATTGGTTAAGTGGCCAGATGTCCTGAAGTTGTTGTGTACAGCTGAACAATTAACTATCTGCCACACAGAAATGGCAAAGGCCTCCCTGTTTTATTAGGATAAAACCACCAGTTTTATTGACTGGCTTTTTGCCTTGATCATATTTACAGTGTTACACTCGACCCATTTAATCATTTCAGTAGCGAGCTGGATACTCTGTGAAAGCAGTTCTGATTTCCAGCCTGAAGAATAGGTAGCTGTTTAATAGAAACGGAGGAATAATTATTTTTCATATTAAAATGTGAATATGTGACAGTTCATTGTAACAGCTGACAGCTTGTTTTGCTTCAGGCAAAATACATCTTTGATAAAGTACATTGCCAAAATGAACACCACACTATCAAATCACTGCTTTTGTTCCTGTGTACAAGACATGGTTTTAGGTGATTGTACATAAAAGAATCCACTACAGATGCTAGAAACAGAAGTTAAATCAAAAAGCCATGAAGCAAGGAATCAGCCTGAATCCAATGAATCTAATAACTGATAAACGAGGTATCCCTATAGCCTGGCTGCCAGGCTGTTTCTCAGGCTGTGGTCTGTGCGACATCAGAAGGTCTTCTGTCAAAGCAGTTGTGAAAGAAAGAAAATCCCTTTTAAGAAAAGCTGACACACATTCCTGCAAGTTGCGAGCAAAGTGTGCATGGGCATGAAGTCGGCAGCGCATGTACGTATTTTAATTGGTTGAAATAAACTTTTTGTTAGCAGCTCAACAGAAGATGATCTTGGGAAAAGAGATGTTCCTTTGCTCCAAAGGTGCAGTTTAGAAACAGCGTTCTAGGAAATGCAGCTGTACTCCTGTGAATGAGCTGTATTGGTCCACTATGTCTGCCATCTCCCCAAGAAACTCAGCAGAGCTGCTGTGGGGCTGCTCGACAGCTTCCGTCGTCCACCTTAACGACTGCACTTACCCACACTCATATCACAGCCTTTTTTCTTTATTCGTTTTATTCCTTCCCACTAATGTAGAGAAAGTCGAGTTTCTAGGACTGCCGTCCAGGAAAAGGTCACGTAAATACTGCTGACCCACAAAAGGAGCAGGAGCTTTGCGGAGCTCACTGCCGGCTCACTGTCTGCGGCCTGGCCCTGGCTGCGGCTGCAGCTGCCGGCGCGGGGCAGCAGGTGGGGCTGGTGCTGCAGCAGCGACGCGAGCTGCGCTCCGGTAGCGGGGCATAGGAAGGGTATACAGAGCGCTCCGATGGACTCCTGCTCTCCGCCGGTGCAGTTCGTGTAGTTTAGGGAAAGGAAAACGGTAAATGTCAGGAACTTCCACTCAGAAATGTGAAAAACATCAGTCTTGTGATCACAGCGGTATTTAGGGAGCTAAATTTCGGCAGGAACCACTCGTTGAGACTGGTTTTAAAGTCCAGCCTGATCCTCTGGCTGAAAGAGATTTTATGGAAGCAGTGCAAACATTTGCTTGCCGAAGTTATGAAAACCTCTTCAAAGCTTCAGAGCACATGGTGATTTAAGAGCCTAACTGCCCTTTACCAGCTTGAAGTTTGATTTAGAGAGAGCTCTTTTTATATGATTCATGAGAGAAAGCTCTACGTCCTTGGAATCTCACTGGCTGTGAGTGTTACCAGGGCTGTAGTAGTATGCTGGAAGGCCCACAAATGTCTCTGTGATCCCCAACTTGGGAGCATGCTGGAGAAGTGTGAATGCATGCACGATGGCAATGCTACAGGGGAATTTAATGAAAATAGTTTCAGATGAGCAGACAACTTTCAAAAGAAACAAGGTACTAGGACATGCTTGGGTACATGGAAACTAAAGGGATGTTTAACAAACTGTATATATATATATATATTTAGCTTAGCAAACAAAAAGGCAGTGTGTTGGCAAACTAAATGGGAGAGTATTAACGTATGTAATATAGCTTATTTCAGATTCTTTTTCCTGCACTGGGAATCCATTGTGATCCAATTGTATCAGTCCATTATCTCATTCTATCTATTAGGCTTGTGCAACCAAACCTTTAATTAATGTCAGCTGTTATACCTCAGCTGACTTCATCAAGCTGTGCCAACACAACCAGCTGTACACACTGGCATCCCTCTCCAGCTCCCAACCCTTCGACCTTTCCTGGGAAAGCCCTCCTTTGTTCAGCCAGTTTCTTGTCTTTAAGAACTGAGTCTTACTGTGGCTTGACATCCTTTTTGGTCTCATGAAGTCTGCACTGTTCTTAGCCTTGATTGTTACTTCCCAGTATTCAGCCTTCTGATGAATGATTTCTTCCTTATTATTTCTTATTGGTATATATATTTTTTCTGCTTAGGTGCTTAAGCATCTCTCTCTAATTCAATTCTCTTTAGGTGATCTAACAGGAATACAACTGTTTATAAATAAGCATTGTATCTAACTTATTTGTGGCATACAGCATGTGGCTGAAAAGGCTCATATAAAAATCAGAGAAAATTCAAAATGATCATCTTGTTATTTTTCATTCTGGCTTGGATAAATACTTTTTTTTAGCAGCCACAAATTTCTTTAAATATATTAGACCTCACAAATGGGAGCATAGTATGTATCTCTACTTCTTTGCATATCAAAGGTGCTATATTTTTGAATATGAATAAAAATTCTTATAATTCAGCTACTTAAGCATTGATGTTAGTCTGGCTTTCAGAAGAGCTTTGCTGCTGTTTGGACACCTCAGTGAGAAAAATACCAGTCCTTGAAAATGTGGATGAAAATAAGAGGCACTGCTGCATTCTTCTTTGCTGATTCAAGGATGCCACAATAGTATTTACTCTTTCAAAAATCTTGAACTAAGTGGATTTGTAGTGGTTTCTATTTAAATGCCAATAGCTGCTGCTAAGTAAAAGAAAACACTGTAAACCAGTGTCTCTGGGGAACTGCACGGAATGAATGTGTTAACTGTCTAAGCTGCTATGTATTAGTATGAATTTGTGGGTTAAATCATTATTTGTAATTTGAGATGTCCTGAAAACCTTCTAAAGAGCGACCAGAAAGAAACGGCACAATTATTTTTGTTTTGCCTAATGAGCCTGGAAAAGTAGAAGGTCACCTCAGAGTAGAATTTTTCAAGGATACCAG